AAAGAAAGTAATAATCATCTATCATAAGATGAATGTGGAACCCTATCGAAAGTCTTCAGAAAAAAAATAAAAGCTCAATTTAAAGCCAATTTTTTCATATTTTCAACCCATAAAGGTCATAAGTGCCCTAAAACCGTACCGATTTTGGAAAAAAATAAACACAATGTTGATAAAGAAAGTATCATTCACCTGTCAAGGGATGAATGTGGAACCCTATCAAAAAACGTTCTCGCTCTCCTTTACTCTGGCACTGGAATTGTCGTTATTTCACATAAGAGCGGCGTATAGCATAATTTAAAAAAATAATAATTCAATAATTTGTATCATGAAAATATTAAAAATGCGCGGAAACGAGTTCTAATGTTAATAGTCGAGCTTCTTGACCCCTAATTAATTAGTCGAAATCGATTCCCCACATGCAATATTCGAAAAATCAATAACTTTGCATTAACTGAATTAGTAAACAATATGTATAAACAAAAAATCAAAATGGCGACTTGGGTCAGGATGGGCCTTTGGATGGATCAGCATGACTTTCCGTCCTTTTTATCAACTTCCAAGGTAAATTTTATTTGGCATTGGCATCTGGTGAGCCTATTTTGTGCTTTTTTAACAGATCGAGTGCATTGTTTAAACAAACATAAACAAATGACAGTGGTGGGGTAGTGCTACTGGCCAAATCAATTGTAATGGTTTAAATACCAAGTATACCAAAATTCATGCTTTTAACACAATTTGCAGTTTTTCACTAAATATCTATGTGTACCGCTAGCGCTAAAAGGGTAACACAGCCGAGCCGGTCAGCTCCTTGCAACAACATGAGCCAAATGAAAAATATTTATGTGACGTCATCAATCGGCGCGTTTTAAATCATTTTGAATTTAGCCAGTTTCAAGTGCATGTAAAAAACTTCTTTAACGTTGTAGAACTTTTTTTTTTTGGTATATATGCCTAAAATAATCTTTCCTTTGGGATTTTATACTTAAATTACATATTTAAATTTTAGTGAAACAGCCCATTGCTTAGCTTAGTTATGCCAACAATTTCACTTTCTGTGACTTCCCTAAATCTAAATCTTTGTTGACTCTTGGTTGCGTTTCCTAGATATTCGCGGTGTGAAATTTTGCTGTTAATATTGCCTGTTGAAGTATGAGCAATTGTCCTATAAAATTCTGCAAATTCATTAGCAACTTTCTGTCTGCTGATCATTGATTGTTTTGTTGTCTGTTTCCAGTTTTACTTCTTTTAGGATGTTTACTCTGTATGTTGTAGTTTATAGCTTCCCAAGTTGTTTTGATTTTGTTCTTAGAGTTTTCTGTTCTTGATTTGAAGTATAGGTTTTTTGAGAATGTAATTAGACTTTCTAGAATTTTGGTGTATTCTTTCACAAATTCTCTAAGAAAATCTGAGGAAGACGGGGGCGTTCACATTATTCAAGTGATTTGATCAAGGCAACAAGTAACTTGCATTCAATTTTTTGTTTACGTTACATTGTTCTGAATGAATGCATGTCAGTGGATTTAAAATAGCGAAAATCCTAGTTAGGAATGCTATTCTTGGAACAGTTTTAATTCTAGCTGGAAATTTAGCAGAAAATATTTGTAAGAAAAAACAACTGAGAAAGAGAATATGGGTTAGAGATTGGATTAGTCGCAGAGAAGAACAAGCTGTTTCAAATAACTACATGACCTTAAATTGGAAGATCCAAGGGATTACAAAAATTTTCTACGAATGAGTGACCAGCAATTTGATTATTTACTAGAAAAAGTTAAAGGCTTTTGGTATTCCACAAACACTCATATTTCTCGTACACATTGATAAATTTGCAGGATTTCTCCTCTGACCATCTAGATGCCGTCATTTTAAATATCTGTTTTTTATTCAATTGAATATAAAAAGTTGAACATGTTTCAACTAAGAAGCCATTCAATTAACGCGATCAAGTGACACGAATAAAGAGGTTTAAATATGCAATTCGCTGAGAAGTCACTTGAATTCAATTGACTTGATCACTTGAATAATGTAAGCGCCACATAAGGAAGAGTAATGATTTTTAATCATAATTAGTAATCTTTTATTTTTACATGATAGTCTTATTTTTATACCCTGGTTAACCACTGGAATGAATTTAGAATTTCCTCAAAAGCTGCTTTTTCGTGATTTTATCTTTCGAGATGTATGCTTTAATCGCCACATACAATGAGCTTTTGTTTTGGAAACCGCGCAGTGATTTCATCGCAGATATTGTAAAAATGCTCCAAAAAGTATTTATTTATTTATTTATTCATATACGGGATAATCCCATTAACTGTTGAATCATACAATACATATTGGTAAGGTACAAAAAAAAATTAATTAATAATCTAACAATGCATAATTAAGTCTAAATCTAAATATGACATAAAAAACAGGAGATAAAATCAAGTTAATTGATAAGCAAGGAATTTCTAAACAGACTGAGTGATGTGTTAAATATATACAGGGTGTCCCAAAAAGATACCGACAAACTTTAAGGGGTAGTAGGGGACATCAAAAGAAGCATTTTTGTTTATATAAACATATGTCCGCAAATGAGCCATTTGGGCTGTAGAGCAAAAAAACTGTTTGGTATCTAGTTTTATTCTCCGCAATAATTAAATCACTGTTTACTTATTAATTTTGCTTTAATAGCAAATAAATTATGGTTTACAATAATTGTTCAACTCGAGAACTCTTTGGAATATTCCGGGAATAGCTTCTACATGGGCCAGTTTCCTTGCTATCAGATCTTCCTCATTACGAAAAGGTGTTTCATAGACTAAACTTTTCAGTCAATGACCCGACGGTGTAATCTTTGCATTGAAGTAAATGGTCAATATTTTGAACAATTATTCTAAACCATAATTTATTTGATAATAAAGCAAAATTAATAAGTAAACAGTGATTTAATTATTGCGAAGAACAAAAGTATCAAACAGTTTTTTTGCTCTACAGCCCAAATGGCTCATTTGCGGACATATGTTTATATAAACAAAAATGCTTGTTTTGATGTCCCTTACTACCCCTTAAAATGTATCGGTATCTTTTTGGGACACCCTGTATATCGGGTCTTCAAAAAAAAAAAACAATCAAAGATTGCTATGGTTTTTTAAACTTATGTCTTAGCACTATTTTTTTTTAATTATGTCATTGAAATTCAATGTCAAAATGTCATGTCAAAAATCCTTACCAATAAAGAAACAATAATGCGACATACGTTTTCGTATTCAAAGCAATCTTTGATTGTTTTTTTTTTTAAATTTATCAACAGCATTTATATACCTGTTCAAAGAACTATTATTTCCACGTGGTTCTATGGTAAGGAAGATTAAAAATACATCGGTGTCGTAGACCCAGATAATATGGTACTCTGAGCTGGATCTGACTTAAGAGAACAGGACAATCTATTAGTATTAGACCATTGATAATCTTAAAAACAAAAATACCACCAAACATATCCCTACGTTTGCTCAAAGAAGTTAACATCAGCTGTTGTTCTTTGTCACTGTAATCATGATCATTAATAGGAATGCCACTTTTGAATGCACAAATTCTCAGGAACCTATGTTGACCTCGCTCTAATGTTTGAGAATGAATTTGGAAAAATGGTGTCCCGGTAACCGAACAATATTCCAATATTGACCGGACCAAAGAGCAGAAGACCACTTTAGTAGCATCAAGAGAAAAGTATTTGCAATTTCTCATTATAAAGCCCAAGTTGTAGTTGCTTTTCTACTCACTTTTCAATAATACTTTTTTGAAAGGGTCAGTAAAGGGGTATTGGCCTATAATTTGATGGAACGTTGAGATCTCTCCCCTTTTGTATAGGTCTTACTATGGCTTTTTTTAAACAAGATGAAAAGCTGCCAGACTCAAAAGAAAAATTTATGAAATCAGCAATAACGTTTAATGCTGGATCTGGCAAGTGTGAGAAAATTTTAATGAATATTTCATCCCAGCTAGATGAATTTCTATTCAAAATGTTACCAAAAATACGCTTCGGGCTTCGGTAGTTCAGAAAGATCAGTAGGAAACAATAATAATACAAATGAATCTACCACATTCAATCCAATTCATTTATTTAGTTGGCAATTATTAAATTGCGAGTTAAATTGTAATCATTGTTACTTGCCGAGTAACATGCATCAAAACTAAATTTAAAATAAAATGTGCCAGTGGCCAGTACACATGCTCTAGAATAATTAAGCTGAAATTCCATAATGCTGAAGTTCTAAAATTAAAATGTGGACGACACATAAGTAAAATTGTCTAAAAATACATACAATAGGATCACAAATTTTAACATCCAATACATTAACTCATCATCTGCCGATTGTTCACTCTTAAATAATCGTTTGAACTGTAGCAACTGGTATGATATTTTGTCTAGCCTCCTGTCAAAAAAGTTGCAAGAGAATTTTCAAATTATTTGTAAAAAATTCATTGTAGAGTATAAAATAATACTAATGGTGAATTGACAACCTTACAACATATGTGAGTTCATTATCTTAAAAATAAAATGCAAAAAAGTCCTCTTCTCACAATCCTTGGATTGACAAGGGTTGTGAGAATAGGACTTTTTTCATTTTTGCATTTAATTTTAAAATAATACTACTTGACATGATTTGGGTTTGACAACTCTAATGGTAAACTGTTATTAGTAACCAATAACAATAACTTAGCCTGCGAACCTGATCAAGAAATCCAAGGAACAATTACCTACCTTTAGTTTTATCAAAATTTTCACTTTGTGGTTTATGAAGGAATAAAACAATTTAATAATTTACCAAACAACATAAAAAGTAAAAACCTTTACAGAATATAGGCTTTTTCAGGTTCTTCTTAAGAGATTTTTAGTTAGGTGTACCAAGAATTGAACTCATAGTTAGATAACTCTACTCCAATAGATCGTTCAAGTAAATTATAAAAAAAGAGTCCTGAGGGTTAAATACAAAATATTAATTATTTTTTTTTTTTTGCAGAAGCGCTCTGTGCAAAACTCGAAGCCGACGCAAGACTAAACGCCGATGCCAGAGCAACTACCGGATCCCTTGCAGTACACCCCAAGTCGAGGGACGTCAAGATCGAGAACTTTTCTATTACTTTCCACGGTTCCGAAATGTTGCAGGACGCTATGCTCGAGTTGAACTGCGGCCGTCGTTACGGACTTATCGGTTTGAACGGTTGCGGAAAATCGACACTTTTGGCCGTGCTCGGTAACAGGGAAGTTCCAATTCCGGATCACATTGATATATTCCATCTAACAAGAGAAATGCCTGCTTCGGACAAATCCGCTCTGCAGTGTGTCATGGAAGTCGACCAGGAAAGGACGCGACTTGAAAAACTTGTCGAAACTTTGATTGCTTGCGAAGATGACGAATCTCAAGAGCAACTTATGGACATTTACGAACGTCTCGATGAAATATCGGCAGACACAGCTGAAGCTAGAGCGGCCAACATCCTGCACGGTTTAGGTTTTACCAAACAGATGCAGCAACAGAAAACTAGAGATTTCAGTGGAGGTTGGAGAATGCGTATCGCATTGGCTAGAGCTCTTTATGTCAAACCCCATTTGTTATTGCTTGATGAACCGACTAATCATTTAGATTTGGATGCTTGTGTATGGCTGGAGGAAGAATTAAAGAAGTGAGTTAGTTTTTTTGGGTATTTAAAAAAAAACTATATTTCTTTTTCTCCAATTTAGCTACAAGAGAATATTGGTTTTAATCTCGCATTCGCAAGATTTCCTTAATGGCGTTTGTACTAATATAATTCACATGGATAAGAAACGACTCAAGTATTATACGGGTAACTATGATGCTTTCATGAAAACTCGCATGGAACTCTTGGAAAACCAAATGAAACAGTATAATTGGGAACAGGATCAAATAAACCATATGAAAGTAAGCTAATTTAAATAAGAGTCGACGTTTGTTAATTTACGGAATTTCTAGAACTACATTGCAAGGTTCGGTCACGGTTCTGCTAAACTTGCCCGACAAGCCCAGTCCAAGGAAAAAACTTTAGCTAAAATGGTTGCTCAAGGGTTAACAGAAAAAGTGTCGAACGAAAAACTTGTTACATTTTATTTTCCTAGTTGTGGTACTATACCGCCTCCGGTAATTATGGTGCAAAATGTCAGCTTTAGGTAAGAGCATTTTTATTATTCAGATATTCCGGATTTGTTTAACCTTAGAAAAAAAATAGATACATAACAGTTTTTTTTTCCAGGTACAACGACGATACACCTTACATCTACAAAAACTTGGAATTCGGTATCGACTTGGATACAAGATTGGCTTTAGTAGGACCCAATGGTGCTGGAAAAAGTACCTTGCTGAAATTACTTTATGGAGATGTAAGCTCAAATTAATAATTAGTCATCCATTTTGAATTTTCATTAATGTTACACTTCTTATTGTAGCTCTTTCCTACTGAAGGTATGATCAGAAAAAATTCTCACTTGAGGATCGCCAGGTATCACCAACATTTGCACGAGTTATTAGATCTTGATTTGTCTCCTCTTGAATATATGATGAAATGTTTCCCGGATGTTAAGGAAAAAGAAGAAATGAGGAAAATTATCGGACGATATGGATTGACTGGCAGGCAACAGGTAAGAAGTTGTCCATCCATTAGCATTCTACTTATCTATCAATATTCAATGCCCCAATGAGCAGAAATATATAAATATATCATTTCATTTGGGTTTTATTATTGATTTGTAGTGACATACAAACACATGGATAATAAGATTTTTTTTTTTCTTGGACAATAAAGATTATTTTGATTTTATTGAAATTTTTCAGGTTTGTCCAATTAGACAACTTTCCGATGGACAAAGATGCAGAGTCGTGTTTGCATGGTTAGCTTGGCAAGCCCCTCACTTACTGCTACTTGATGAACCTACCAATCACTTGGACATGGAAACTATTGATGCCCTAGCAGAAGCTGTCAACGATTTCGAGGGCGGATTAGTTCTTGTTAGTCACGATTTCAGGCTTATTAGTCAGGTAAGAACAATTTGAAATTATTTCTTTATGTATTTGAATAAATGTATTGTAGGTTGCTGAAGAAATCTGGGTATGTGAGAAAGGAACGGTAACAAAATGGAAAGGTGGCATTTTGTCGTACAAAGAGCACTTGAAAACGAAACTATTAAAAGATGCTGAAAAGAGCGCCAAGCAGCAAAGATAATTTAATTGCACCTTAGAGAAAAATTACATCCTTAGAAAATAATTGATGCACCATCAATAATAAGGCAACTCATTGCGGTTAACATTTTAATAATTATGCAATTTATTGTTTCAATAAATAGCATTCTTTATTTTGATATGAGTGTTTTTTTTTCTGTATATTTATGCTATCCTGCTTCTGATATTAGTAAACAGTACATGGTTCAATTTTTAAATGAAAATTCTGGAATTTGGCGAATTGAACATTATATTACAACAAATTGAAGTTTAATTTCTGCGATTTATCATTATAACATATGTAATATCGGGTCTTCCCTCCACCAATTTTTGCCTATTTTTGGTCGTTTTGCAGTAGTTGTCGTTGTGTGTGTGCGTAAATTTAATTGTTTTCTTGTGTCATTTATGAACAGTACAGTTGTGTTTTATGTCTGTATCTTAGTGAAATTGTCATCTACATGAACAACCCCCAATTAAAAAATTGACAAGTAGGAAACCCGCCTTGTTAAGCAGTAGTCCTGATTTTCACTGAGGACAAAGGCAGGAATGCGACAACAATAATTCAACATACCTGAGGTAGCGTTCATCACTGTGTGAGCGAATGAATGCATTTTACTAAATAAACCAATTTTTATATGTCCTCATTTCTAAATCCCTCGGTAAAAAAAAAACAAAAATAAAATCCGCAGGCCAAACCCAGGGGCCTCATTCTGTAAAGAACGAACCGTTCGATTCGGTAGAATTTCTTCGATTGTGACGTCATTTTTGGCATTTTCGGAATAGCTTCCGCGCTAACAAACCGAAAATGACGTCACAGTCGAAGAAATTCTACCGAATCGAACGCTTCGTTCTTTACAGAATAAGGCCCCAGGGGCGGATGGGGAGCATAAAACCGGCCCGGGAAACAATTGGCACCGGCCCGGCCTGCCAGATCAGTATTTTATTTTGGGGGCTGTTGTGAATGAATCGTGTCGCAGCCGGTCACGCAGCTTAAAAACCTACTGGTCCCAATTTTTATTGGTATTATTTTATAGGGGTAGCACAAAAAACTCTGGATGGAACTTCCTGACTCAAACAGTCCAAACTCTTCATGGAAGGACCATCTAAGAACAGAACAGAAGAACTGCTTAGCTTAAGCAGGAGACAATTGAGAGATGTGGTTGGATTGTTGACAGGACACTGCTATCTTTATTTAGTTGTTGTAAAATGACGATGACCGACATAGAATGGGGAATCCATTGGTAAGATTTGATGAGAATAAAAACGCAGGGTCACTTAAAAACACTGAAGAAGAAAAATGCGAGTCTGGCTAACGAAATAGCTAAATATTAAATGAACTTTTATTAGTTATGATCAAGAACAAATGAAGAATGCTTTGTCTTATCCTGTGATATCGTCTTTTTAATGTGCTTCTATTAGTACGGGATACGAGGCCTATTTCATCAAATCATTTTACACCGTCTTGCATTGTTATCATCAGTTAGATAAAATGGTACTGAAACGCACTTGTGCAGGGAAATAGATGGGAGTGGGGGATTTCGCTGAAAAAAATGTTTCAGAAAATGTCATAAATTAGGAAAATATATAATTATACACCGTCTTGCATTTATTTACTGAGTTAGTTTGTACACAAACAAAATTGAATTACCACATGCAAGACGTTTTCATGGGGGTTTTGGGGTTGCAATAGAAGATGGAAATTGTCAATTTGTGAGAGGGGTGGATAATCATTTTACACCACTCCATTGTTGATTTAGATTAAAGCTTGAATATAGAATAGCTACTGGATACTGATACAAGACGTCCTGTGGAGGGATAACGGGCTGCAAGACGGATGTCAATGCGTTGTCTCACGAGGGAGTGAAAATTTATTTTACACCACTTCATGCTTATGTCCGCCGGAAGAATATATGTTAAAAAATGCTAATACATCAGTCCAAGACGTTTTTTCGGGGAAAAAAGTTAATAAATCCGTTTTCTTTTTTAACTGAACTGTTGAGTTATTTACTGAACCGTTCACAGTTCATTCTTTTCTAAATCATACAGATGGAAAAGGACAGTTGACATAGCAGCTCAACAGGGGAGTCTGCTGAATACAGGAATTATAATTTCTGTTTACAATTCCAGACAGATCATTTTTTTGCTGCTTTAAAATCAAACTTCTCAAATTTACCTATATAATACCTACCTACTTACAATCCGTTAGGTGTTATGACATATCCACCTCAAAAAAAAAAAAAAAAAATGATTATAAGCTGACAGAAAAAGAACAATTTTCAACCTTTTTTTTTTTTTGATGTCGGTAGAGACATTCAAATATACATATTGACAATTTCTATCCAATATAACAACCCCAAAACCTCCATGAAAACGTCTTGCATGTGTTGATCCAATTTTGTTTGTGTACAAATTAACTCAATAAATAAATGCAAGACGGTGTATAATAATATATTTTTTCTACGAGCGTGCGGGAAATGGCTCTTCCCGCACGATTTGCTGTGCGGGAAGACTTTTTTCTCGCACCGGTGCGGGAAGAGATTTCTTCCTGCACTCAGTGCGGGAACAGTTTGAAATAATCATTGTGACATGGAATTGTTTGTATTGTGGATACACCTATACCTGTACCTTTACCTTTTTATAAATACCTTTTAATACATTTTTAATAGGCTCGTTCAATGAAGTTTCATTAACCACGTTTTTTCATATTTTTATGGAGTATTACTCACATATAGCACACAAAAAAAAATCAGTTCAATTGGACAAATATTAAAAAAGTTATGCGTCTTTGACTTTGAATATTAAAACATTATAGTTGGGGAGCTGGCGTCAAAAACATGCAAGAGTTTTCGCAAGGCGGATATTTTCAAAATAGGTCGTACTTTAGTGCTAGAATGCTAGTGTAGCGTCAGCACTCACAGTTCCGGGACAGCTAGCTCTGGGACGCGGGCAAAGTTGTAATTTTAAGAAGCATCTAAACTGTTTTCTCAAAGCTCAAAATTTATAGAAATTTTGCACATTATCTGTTTGAAGGTCACAGATAACGTATGTAAATCGTCAGACGTCTAGTTCGTTGCTAAAAGGGGGTCAGACGTCCTCAAAGTTTTTATTTTATGGCATTTTCTTCAAATATATTTGTCAAATACCTGCAAAAATATATTTTGACAGGACACCGAAGAAAATGCCATAAAATAAAAACTTTGAGGACGTCTGACCCCCTTTTTGCAACGAACTAGACGTCTGACGATTTACATACGTTATCTGTGACCTTCAAACAGATAATGTGCAAAATTTCTATAAATTTTGAGCTTTGAGAAAACAGTTTAGATGGTTCTTAAAATTACAACTTTGCCCGCGTCCCAGAGCCAGCTGTCCCGGAACTGTGAGTGCTGACTGTACACTAGCATTCTAGCACTAAAGTACGACCTATTTTGAAAATATCCGTCTTGCGAAAACTCTTGCATATTTCTGGCGCCACCTCCTGGACTATTATGCCTCAGAAATTCATCGCTGAGAGATGGTATGACGTCATCTCTCGAGTCGAGACAGGCTAAAGGCCGTCACATACGGTTTTGCATAATGCAATGTCAACTGGGACACAGGTTTCCGAGTTTGCGAAAGTATCAATAATTTTACTTTTTGCATGCTACTTCCATAATTGTGCTTATAAAATATTGAAAGTCAGGGAATCAATCAAATATACTTTAATATGTTCGAAAGGAAAACACCCAGTTCTATCAAATAGAAAAAAATGCCAAACCATAGTGCCAAACTAAAACTTGTCAAAACAATGCCCGTAATGTCGTAGTGACGGGCGTACCAGGTGCGTATCAGCACCACCACGACCAACGTGAGAGATGCAGTGATGTCACTGCGTGTTTCAAATTTGAGGCGTTTTGATAATTTATTTAAGTACGAACAAGGGCTTGGAAAATTAGGAAATTTTGCACAACTGCTAAGCTCAATACGCTCTTAGAATATGAAATAAAAAAAATATGCTGTACGAGCCTATTCTACCTTCTGCATAATCGCATTTCATTTAAATTAAACTCTTCGTAACATCAGCTTTAGTATGCTCGTAGAAAAAATATAGTTCCTAACTCTTGCGGGAAGAAATTTCCGCAGCGAAATCCCCCAGTCCCATCTATTTCCCCGTGCAGGTGCGTTTCAGCATCATGTTATCTAACTGATGATAACAATGCAAGACGGTGTAAAATGATTTGATGAAATAGGCCTCGTATCCCGTAATATATTGAATATTTAAGGGATGAATTACCAGATTAACCAGATCCAATTAAAAATCAGATGGGGTATAAAAATATATTTTTTCTATATATGTATATAAAAATTATTATTAACAGAATAATCTCCAGTAGTATATGAATAAAAAAATACTATTTATATTGAATAAACAACAGATCTAAAACAAGTGTATAATAATATGTACTAACAATTTTGATATATAAAACAACATTTAACAAATTTGGAATGGTTTTGCATATTTTTGGGTATTTGCTTAGACAACATTGTTCATGAGTGGAAACTTGTTGAAGTTTTCTTGGCATAGTGAGGCTTCTCTTAAAAACTGAAACAAAAGGAATATGATTTATTTTTATTGCAATAAATTTTCTAGTAATGGTAGGATCACTCTTTTGGAAGTATAGTTGGGCGATCAGTTTATAACAAAAGAAACCGTAACATAAGAAATTTTTCATCGAACGTTTTCATCACATAATGATACATTATGTAAATTGTATTCAAGCTTCAAGTGACAAAATAGTATATTATATACCTAGGTAGAGAAGTTGGTCATTATATATACCGAGCGCTTTTATAAACCGAGGCGCAAAGCGCCGAGGTTTATAATGCGTGAGGTATATAATGACTTTCTCTACCGAGGAATATATAGAATTTTTTTTACTACTGCTAGTACAAAATAAAAAATTTGCTTAAAATCTGTGCTCTAATTATTTTTTTTTGAACGCCCTCTTGAAAGTGCTGCCCTCTATCAACAGCTTATGATAACTTCCTATGTACCTACAGAAACCTGTATTTTGTTTTAAATTGACGCATGAAATTGAAATTGGACCAATAGAAACATGACAATATACTTGCGTCATGACGTCATTTTCATTATTGACCTAGGGACTTTTTCATTATTCACCTAGGGAGAGAAATTAAATTTTTTCCTAGAAAAATAGATTGAATAATGACTATTTCTCAGGTAAGTAGTAAAAAAACTACAATAATTATTATACTAAGATTTTTGACAATGATTGCTTTGAAATTTATTTTATACAGGGTGAGTTACTAAGCGCGCGGTGGTCTATATCTCCTATACTAACGGAGATTGAAGAAAAAACTAAATACAAAACTAGTAGATAAACATGAGTACTACATTCCTAAATTATTTTCCAGTATAGAGGGTGGCCCAATAACTAGAAGTGACACAAAGTTATGTTTTTTCAAATGACTCCCCCTTCTAGACATATTTCATGTACAATGGCCGCGTTCACCAGATACAAACGTTGGTAAACGGTTTGCGATTATTCTGCTGAACGTTACGTTGAATTTGTGTTAAAACCAAACATGTTTTGCAAACGGTCGCCATTTTTGCAAGCATAATTTCAGCGTGTTTATAATTTTCAACGCTGTATTTTGTGTGGTGACCTGTCATTCAGAAGGTGACGTTCTTTCATTGAAAAGTTGAATCGTTCAGCAGAACCAAGAGTTTACCCAACATATTGTGTTGGTATTTGTAAACTGTTTACAATCCGTTTTGGTTCTGGTGAACGTAGCCAATGTCATGTACCTATCTTTAACTGTTTCGGAAATATTGACAGTTAAAAACTGACTTTTTTGCATCTTTGACAGACTGTAAAGCCTGAAAGGTTAATTTTACAAGAAAACGGATTTTACATCCCTATCTTAGTTTTTTATAAACTATCATTTGACACCAATCTTGAATTTAAACCATGATTAAAAATTCCGCCTAAATTATTAATCTTCAGTTAAATTCAATGTTGGTGTCAAATGATAGCTTATGAAACTCTAAGATAGGAATGTAAAATCGGCTTTCCTCTAAAATTAACCGTTTAGGTTTCACAGTCTGTCAAAGATGCAAAAAAGTCAATTTTCAACTGTCAATATTTCCGAAACAGTTGAGGAAAGGTATATGACATTGTACATGATATATGTCTAGAATTTTCCGCGGAATCCAGAAAAGTCATAATATACAGGGGGAGTCATTTAAAAAAACATAACTTCGTGCCACTTCTAGTTATTGAGCCACCCTGTATACCAGAAAATAATTTAGGAATGTAGTACTCATGTTTATCTACAAGTTTTATATTTAGTTTTTTCTTCGATCTCCGTTAGTATAGGAGATATGGACGACCGCACGCTTAGTAACTGACCCTGTATATGGCAAATGTTGATGCTTATAATAATACTACTATCTGCTCTGCCAATGGGAAGAGGCCTTAGTTCATATAAAGTTACTCAGAAGAAGCAAGTCTTCAAATTCTTTTAGTTTTGTCCAGCTTCTTTGGAAAATGAGCTTAGTTTCAAATGGAATATATAAATGTCTCGAGTCCAATTATTTATACAGGGTGTTCCGAAATTAATGCAACAAATTTTTATGGCATATTCTACGTCGAAAATAAACCCTAGTTTCCTATATAAACATATGTCCGGAAACGCTTCCTTTCCGAGATACAGGGTGTTGAAATTCTAAGAAAAAAACTATTTTTTTATCATAACTTTCAAACCACTCTAGATATTTCATTGAAATTTTGTACACCGGTTTCGAGCAGTAAAAGACATTTTTTGATAAAATTATTTAAAAAAAAAAATTACCAGTGACGTCCGTACCAGATTTCTATGGAATATTTTTCAAGAAAAAAATGGTGCGCCACTGCTTTTTTCTAAAATAAAAATCATTTTTGGAATCCCCATGCAATTTGGAACAAATTTGATTTCTACAATTTTTTCTGAAAGATGCACCATTTTCAAATAAAAAATAAAGAACCATTTTGGGGCATGGCGAAATCGTGAAAATTATGATTAAAATGCTAAACATTAAACACTTAAAGTTTCAAATTATTTCTGTGACGTCACTGATTTTTTTTTTCAAATATTTCACATGAAATAGCTATTTATACAATAAGTTACGAAATGAGCGTCTTTTAGGCACGCGACGTGAAAATTGTCCAACGAGGCAAAGCCGAGTTGGACAACACGTCGAGTGACTAAAAGACATCGTTTCGTAACAATACAAGATTTTTTCTACTGGCATTTTATAATAAAAAAACACAATTTTATTTCATGTGAATAAGTCGATTACACCCAAAATCTTTGTTACCTGCTTTTACTTGACACCTGACACTTTTCATGCGATTTTCTTTTCAAAATTCGACATCAATAATTAAAATCCTAGAAAGTAGGTAATAACACAAACTTCTGTTTTGAGTAACCCAAACGTTCAATTCAGTAATTCCATTTTCAATATTCATAATAAATACAAAACAAAATTCAAATATGTGTTTAGTGTGTTTTTTATTTCTGAATAATGAATGACACTTTTAGGCACTAGTGCTTAAAAATTACTTTTACGCACTCATAAGTCACTTTTACGCATTCAAAAGTCACTTTTACGCACTGAGTGCCTAAAAGTAACTTTCACGCACTCAGTGCCTAAAAGAATGTCGTTTCAAAACTGAAATGACAATCGAAAAGTTGCTATTATGAAACGTCAGTAGAAAAAAGTGTCTTTTGCTGCTTGAAAGCAGTGTACAAAATTTCAATGGAATATCTAGAGTGGTTTGAAAATTATGATAGAAAAATAGGTTTTTTTCTTAAAATTTCAACACCCTGTATCTCGGAAAGGAAGCGTTTCCAGACCTATGTTTATATAGGAAACTAGGGCTTATTTTCGACGTAGAATATGCCATAAAAATTTGGTGCATTAATTTCGGAACACCCTGTACATATAGAGATAAAAACATAACCTGCAGTGAAGGTACCCCATTAGGAAATCTTTTTATCAGTTGCCCTAATTATCTTATCCTACAGACCGTGTGAATGTCTTACCAAAACATGTCCATCCATATCTTGTAACAACTTGTCAATCCATGGAATACCATTTTTGTCTTTTTGTCCACATTCGTACTTAGCAATAAGTGCCAAGTGTGTAACTGCCAAAGTTAAAGCTGCAGCTCTAGCTTCCAACAATCTAGGGTCAAGCGGAGGATACATGCTCCGCACCATGTCATCAACTCTGCTAGAGATTCTTTTGGCACTGTCAACAATCTGACCAAAATTGCCTGACATTGGACTGGAATTCATTGCGAGCGTGGTCAGACGTTCGGTCAGGTATCTGCAAGTTTTCAAGATGGCCAAGCAATGGGGTATAAGGCCGGTGGCGTCATCGATCCATTGTTCATCGGTTAGGATGCTGTCAAAGTTCAGATTCACTTCTCCCAGTTCGAGTTCGGGTATGTCAGGTTCTATTAGTTGTTTTTCGGGCCTGAAACAAGCGCTGATTTGTAGTTTTAGGGATAAACATCGGAAAACATATTTATTTCCTACTGAACTATTATACCCATATAAAACCTTGGTTACGATAATCATAAACAGGGTCTTAACTCCCAAGGGAGTTAAAGATTTCCGTAACTCCCGCTTTTACCTTGAATAGGTGAAACTTTGACAAAAAATAGAAATTTTGGTTTATGGTTTATTTCTTTATAAAAATGGACAAAATACAGTGAATTCAGTGGGAAATAAAATTATCTATGTACCACGGGAATTATCAGGTGTTAATACCCACGGGCAATTGGTGTCCCTCGGGATACAAACTTTGCCCTGGGGTATTAACACCCTCATAATTCCCTTGATACATAAATAACTATTATGAGTGGCAGATTGGAAATACTAGATGAGTAAGTGATGATTATGTATTAACTAATCATAATAATTATGTAAGTTTGTTTCTAATAGACAGTGCAATTTCAGACCACCAACTGCAATACTTGAATTTTTAAACTTGAAAAAAATAATACGCAAAATGCAATAGTTATATAGTAACCACTTTAAATAAAGAAGCAGTTAAGGCAAATTTAGCTGAAATTGAAACCTTAAACTGTAATCCCAATTTATTGAGTGATCAAATAATACGTTCTCATAATAACAATTTGCATAACAGACAGTGAAGAAATAGATTTTGTTCTAAAAGTGCTCCTTGGTATAATGTGAGACACTTTGAATTGATGAGGAGGCGGAAATTTCACTATCAACGACATAAAATGTTTCCACACAGTGCTCATTTACTTGAACTTCACAAATTAACCTAAAAAGAATATAGAAAATCACTAATTGACTCAAAAAAAGCTTATTATAATGTCGAAATTAGTATAGCAGGAAATGATGTTAAACATATATGGAGACCACTAATCAACAACTCCAAACCCAGGAAAGACTGCTTGCTACCCAAGTTAGTACATGTAGGACTAGTGATGTAATATTTCCGAAATTTATTTTTTCTTCCGAATATTTCCGAAATATTCGTATTTTAGTGAAATTTATTGAAATTTAAGGGAACATTCAATTTTCTTCACTGTAAGTGTAAGGAACTGTTTTGAAATATAGTCAAGTTTATATGTATTGTATTCTTGGACAATAAAGCATATTATTTACTACTACCAAAGAATCTACTACTATCAGGAGAAAGGTATATTCTGTTAAAAAATGAACTTGAAATGCGTCAAGAAAAGAAAAATGATTTTATCAACTAAACATGTAGCATTTCGTACACTGGTACATATCTTTTTTTCCTTTTTTAAATATGTAAAGTGATCCTGACTCGACACTTTTGCTTCCCCATGTTCGGTAATAGAACAATAAAAAATAAAACACTGCGCCGGTGTTTTTCCGCAACGAAACCATAATAAAACTGCCACAGCACAGCTCGTTCCTTCAAAACTAAACACGCCCATACGCCGTTGATATCGAGGTTAGGGCCGATGTCTCAATAGCAAGTCAGCCTCGGGTTAAGCGTAACTCCAGGCTAAACATTGCAACTAGACAAGTTTAACCTGGAGTTAAAACTAATCCGGAGGTGACTCGCTATTGAGAAACCGGCCCGTAGAGGTTAGTTTGACAGCAACGCGCCGCTATTAGGTGATCCTGTGCCGCTGTGGTGGCGCGAAGCTACACGAAATGCTGGCGGGAAATTTAAAATCCGAAAATTCGCGCAATATTTCAACCTAATTTTCGTAAAGTTCCGAATGTTCCCAAAACAAATCCGAATATTTCCGAAATATCCGTAATTTACGGGAATGTTCTATATCATTTCCAGGATTATTTCACACTAGTGAAATTTGATTTCAAATTCATGAAAACTAAATTCACATCAGTGAAATCTAATTTCGCTCAAATGAAAATGGATTTCAAAGTAACGAAAACTAATTTCTCACAAACGAAATTTGATTTCACATTTTTGAAAATGAATTTCAAACTGACCCTAATTAATACTTATTTTTCAAATATTTATTATTTCAATTTGAAAAGACATCAACAACGTTATTTATTTCAACCTACTGAAATAATCCCACTGAGTTTAGAAAACTGTGGTTTAGATAACATAAAATACAATCATGAAACAATAATAATAATTATGAGTTATTTAAATAAATTAAACTTCTGTTTAGCAAATCACGTGGAAAGGTATAATGCAGTGCAGCTATCTCAAGAGTGAGAAGATTCAACTGAAGTTCAATTTATTTAAATAATTTATAATTATTATTGTTAATTGTTTCATGATTGTATTTTATCTAAGTGAACTTCGTGTCCTATCGGTATCCAATGAAGGGGGTGATTCCTCGGTTAAGATAAAAAAAAATAATAAAAAATTTGTCTTTTTACAATTTTATCAATGTATTGTGATTTTGTTATGTGCAATTGAATGTTCCATCCTGAAAAATCTCGCACTATTTTATATAATTCTAGCCACATAATTTTTCAAGTACAAGGCATGTAAACTTCAGTTTTTTGTTATCACTTTTTTGATGTTCCTAATATAAATTCTAGCTCTGATGAAACCCTAAACTTTTGGGCAAAACGTTGGCAAAGACTTGACAGGCCTTTTATGTTTTTTTTTTTTTTTGTCCTAACCAATGAATCACCCCCTGCATTGTATTTTATGTTATGTGAACTCAGTGGGTTTATTTCATTAGGGTGAAATAAATAACATTTGTTGATGTTTTTTTCAAATTAAAATAATAAATATTTGAAAAATTACTATTAATTATTATAGTCAGTTTGAAATTCATTTTCAAAAATGAGAAATCAAATTTCGTTTGTGAAAAATTTGTTTTCGTTACTTTGAAATCAATTTTCATTTGAGCGAAATTAGATTTCACTGATGTGAATTTAGTTTTCATTAATTTGAAATCAAATTTCACTAGTGTGAAATAATGCTGGAAATGGTATAGTTGAAATATTCGCTACTCACATCACTATATAGGACACACTGCGAAGAAGCCACAGGATGTTGCTAACTTGCTAAACCAATAATTTTTCGGAATTGCTGCAGAACTAGCAAAAAACATCCCCCCAACAATGTTGTCCCCTCAACTCCAGCCAACTTCTACTGCCTATATACATCAATGGGAACCTGTGACTACAAAGGAGGTCACTGCAGTTATAAACAAATTAAAACCAGGACAATCACCCGGAACTGACAGCTTAGGCATTGATACAAGATACAATCAAGAAATTGAAAAATGAAAAACGCCCACTTTATGTAAGTTGATAAATCCTGTTTTTAATACTGCACCTGTACCAAGTCTGTTTAAAATGGCAAAGGTTGTCCCTTTGTTTAATGATGATGATAGCACAGAACTTATAAACTACAGGCCCATTTCCTTGCTCCCAGCTATGTCTAAGTTATTGGAGACCTGTATAAATATGAGGTGAACCAGTTATTTGGATGGAATAAATTTTTGGTATGGGGGTCAATATAGATTCAGAAAACACAGTTATACCTCCTCAGCAACTACAGAGCTAATTACAAATATATTAGAGATATAAGTGTGTACTTGTCTCTCTGGACTTAAGAAAAGCTTTTGATACAGTAAGTGCCTTTTGCTTTCATTTGACAACCGTTAAAAATAATCAGGGTTTTGAATGCGCTCTAACTACCTATACCACCTATACCTATAGACCTGGACCCATGCAAAACTTTGACGACGAATCAAATTCGTTAATCGAGAGCAAAAGTATTGGCGCTTAATCACAAAATTCTCGTGGAGGTGCTTGAAAAAACTGGTATTGGAGGCTCAGCACTACTGTGGTTTAGTGTGCCTAAATCAATCGTTTGTTAAGTCCTAGTTAGTTAACAAAAACCTTAGATTGTGACAATATGGTATATTGAAATAATGTATGTGTGATATTGAATGACCCGCATAGTTTTCTAGCTCAGGCTAGTTTAGGTACATACATCTATTGTCGAGTCTATTGTTTAATTATCATGTTGAAATAAAGGAAAAAAAAAAAGTACGTTTAAGTGTTAAGTACTCTAAGATGTTTTTATATTCTAGCAAAAACGGTTTACAATCCATACTAACAGATTGATGTACCTACATGGGTTTCGGACTTGATTGAGTTTCCAATTTCAACAATAGAAAACTGCCACAAAAATACTATCATTTAAAAATATACTTAATTTTTCAATTTGTAGTGGTTTTAAGTAATTACTTGAACCTCATTCTGTTCGGAGAGAATTATACCGGGTGACAATGAAACTACTACCCATGGCGGAATTTCTTAACAGCTCGAGATAGAAATATGGAACTTATCGGATACCTCTTTGAATAAGGAGCAAATAACCATGATTTTTTTTTGTTCTGGCATACTCAGTTTTTACGTAAAATACTTTAGAGCAGGTAAAGCGCTGTCCTACAGACATATAAGGAGTAGCAACGCTATGAAAACTAAAGTGAAGCCAGTTTTTAGCCGGTGTTTGTACACCAAATAACAGGTGAAGCATTGAATTAGCTATACCGCCATTATTTTGGATCTCAAAATACCTGGAAAAAAACTGCTTCAATTTCCAACTTCATGTTCCTACTCCTCCCACCTAGGAAATTACCTGCTCTAAGTAAAATACAAACAAATAGGAATTACGACATATTTTTGAACCACTCTATGGCCGTGTTCGTTTTTGTCATCTTTTTCGTAGATTTGCTCCGAAATTTTGACAGGCACGTGATTGGATCAGACAGTTTGAATTTACAAATCACGTGGCTGTCAAAATTTCGGAGCAAATCGACGAAAAAGATGATAAAAACGAACACGGCTTATTTCAAATACCTACTATCAATTTTTGACATAGTTTATGTCAGACAAAAGTTATTAGAATTAGGCAATTCAAACCACGTGACTTTCAAGATGGCGTGGCGGCCACACATGAGCCAAAAAACACACAAAAATATCTAGATTCGGCCCGATTTATTAGTTTAGGTACCTAGT